TCATCAGAGGAATTTTCAGGATTCATTGAAATATAATAATAACACAGAGAAAAACAAGCAAGAATACCTGTGTTTAATGTTGGTAAAAGCACCCTGGCCTTGGATATACATAGACTTGGTAAAAAAATTCCTAGCAAGCCAAGAAACACAACAAAAGAGAAAGGAGACCATTAAGAGAGCCAACGGGAGTTCTATGTCTCTGTTAAGAAATTAACAACAAGGATAAGGTAGTAAGTCTTACCAAGAAAACGTCCACATCACTCACGACCTTGCCTTCGAGCCGTATGCGAAATTCTCATTTCCTCAAGCTGTAACGAAATCTGCAGCATTTTCATCATGAGTTACAAAGAGGATTGATGGAATTCAAAGTGACAGGGATGGCAGAAAATACAAACTAACAATGAATCAATAGGAAGCTTCACTATTGGAATATTATCAACTTCACGCAAGAGAATGGAAGCTGAAATATATCATGCTCAAAGCTTGTCAAATATGATGATCAGCATTCAGAATTAGTTGAAACCTTTGTATCACGTCAATGCACCTACAATTCACGACAAAATTCAACAGGTTTCAGAAAACTCAAATAAGTCAGCAAATGCCCCATCAGCATAAATCCAAGCAGTAAAAATTACAAACAAGGCAGTAAAAAAATCAGGGTAAAAACAGATATTTTTGAAGCTCACTACAGACAAAACACAGAAGTCACTATCACTAAAATCCCAGAGAATCAGAAATCGTGGTATAAACCTCTAACGGAATTGTACTACCAAAATACACCTCATTGTCCTACACAAAACCTCACACGATACCAAACAATTTCTTCAGCAAATTTTGATTCTCGCACGTACCAAAAAACCCTAAAATCTCCTATAAGTACAATCCCAACCATTGGCAAAAGGAGACAGAAAAAAACCTAGCGAAGCTCTGTGAAATTCAATCCTCACACTACCTAAAATCACTCCAAAGTTCTTCCTAAAAGTTGATAAAGCTTCATATTGAAGCTCTAGACAACTCGAACTTAGGCGTATCACTCGAATCCAGAAACGAGAGCAAACAGGACGCAAACGAAGAAGAAGAAAAAGCGAAAAGATATAAAGCACGAACCACCTAACTCGTGGATTCGCCATTGGAGTAACTAAAAAAAAACTGGTGAGTCCCTCTTCGTCTGATTTTTGCTCGCCGTTAATATATGTTTTTGAATATGTTGTTCTCTGTGTGGTTTAAGTTTTGATTCTGGTGATTAAGGGCTTTATCCATTAGAACCGAGTTCGATTTTAGAGTTAGGGACCGAGGTTTTTCCCGTTGAGTGGCGTCAAACCCCGGTCGTTGTGTCTTCGACCGCATCATTCGAACTGATAAGGAGATGAAGGGTAGGAGGCTTTAAGAAAATAGAGAGATTTCAGGGGAGATTCGTTTTGAGTTTGAAGATAAAAAGGAGAATTTGGTTTGTGAGGTAAGTGAGATAAGGGAGGGATAGAGTTTAACCTTTTGGTTTTAGTTTGAGTTTCCAACGAATCTCGGAAATCCCCAACCGACAACATTCATTGTTGTTGTTTCCTCTTCCCCGTAGAACTAGGTGTAGCGCTTTTGTTCCAATAAACCATGCAAACAGTAGGAGTTTTAGACTGTCACGAGTGAGTAAGGTCGTTAGGACTATAATGTTACTAGTTTAATTAAAACTTGATAAGGCCCTATCTTAGAAACTAATTAAATTAGTTTAAAATATTATTAATGTTTAGTAATATTATAAGTCTTATTTTAGATTTTTATTTATAAATTATGAAATTTAATTTACAATTTGATTTAGATTTAAGAATTTTATCAAATTTATTTATTTTTCTATTAAATTCAAAACATTTTATTTATGTTTAAATTAGAATAATAAAATTCCTTTTTTTGAAATTATATGGAAGTGGTGGATTTTTGGAGTCTAGCACTCCTTGAATTCTTAAGCGACCGCTCTCGAGGTGCACACCTTGAGTTGTGGTCGTTTCGTCTTTCATCGTCAAAACCCCTCAATATTGTTTAAACCTTTCAAAGTAGGCAAACCCTAACCCTAGCCATATGCCTACCCTAGTTTAACCCGCATACGCTAATATTTCCAGATTATTTTCTTAATTAAATTACGAAAGTATCGAGTTCTTGGAGTCACGCATTCCTTGAATTCGAGAGTGACAACTATCGAGGTGTACACCTCGGTTAGCGTGTCATTCGAACTTTCGTTCCTAAAACACTTCTCCTAATTATTTGGACAAGTACTTTCACTGTCCGACAAATACTATTTCATAGTTAATGGGATGAAAAATATGTCGTTAGGATCTAGCATTCCAACGATACCCAGACTAATTGGTTACGAGGCCGACGTCTCGCTTATCGAATAGTTGTCATTCCTCCCAAATTTTTAACCCGTCTAACCTCGTTCCTCACCCTCGTGCGATCGAATCTAAACCCTCGTACTCTTATAAACCATACGTTAAATTCAAATAATTTTCCCTAATTAAATTACGAAAGTATCGAGTTCTTGGAGTCGCGCATTCCTCGAATTCGAGAGTGACCGTTATTAAGGCGTACGCCTTGAGTAGCGCGTCGCTCGAACTTTCGTTCCTAAAACACTTCCCTTAATTATGTGGACGAATATTACATTGTCCATTCAAATACCATTTCATAATTAATTGAATGAAAAAGGTATCGTTGGGGTCCAGCATTCCAGTAATATCCCGATTAATTGGTTGCGAGATCGACGTCTCGTTTATCGAATAGTTGTCATTCTCCCTCAATTTACCTAACCAAACTCCTCTTTCTCGCCCCCGTGCGATCGAAACCTTAAACCTATTCAAATCCATTCTCTTTTCAAAACACTAAACTCCTAGCCCTCGTGCGATTTCCAACTCAAACAACTCTTCTCAAAGAGCATTGTTTAGTCCTTTCTTTCGCGCATAACAAACTCGTGCTTCAGCCTCTCCTAGTGAGCAGACAAGCCAACGTTTAGCAGTTAGAATGCGACCTAAACTCTCGTTCAACTCATACACTTTTTGCCAAGAACATTGTTTAGTCCTTTCTTCCGCGCATATGAACTCGTGCTTCAGCCTCCCCTAGCGAGCAGACAAGCCAATGTTTAGCAGTTAGAATGCAACCTAAACACTCGTTCAGTTTCAAACCCTTTTACCGTAGTTAGCCGAACTACGGCTACTCTGATTTCTCATTTATCAATGAGAATACGTAGGCACAAGATTGCGATGATCCTAGCAAGCACAATCCCCTCTTTTTCCCGTAGTCCCACGAACTACGAATGCTCTGATTTTCCACTTCTTACAAGTGAAGATACGTAGGCACAAGGGCCCCAATCCTTGGCGAGCACCCTATCTTAAAACCACCAATTCCCCCTATAGGAGAAACCTTAGAAGAAAACAAACAAGCGTAGCTAACTTTACTCTCAAATCGATCAAGAGGTTCCCGTTGAGTACAACGGACATGAGGGGTGCTAATACCTTCCCCTCATGTAATCGACTCCCGAACCTAGAATATTGGTTGCAATGACCATGTTCTTATCTCTTTAAAGGTTTTATCGATATTTTCATATTTCTGCCTTGGAATAAATAAAGTTCGGTGGCGACTCTGTTTCGAACATATTTTCCGCGTCCATCGCGAGGATCGTATTTTTCGAGGTACGACACATCTTAAAACTAAAACAATTATAAGTGTATAAAAAAGTTTTTAAAAAGACAGTGAGTAAGATGGAAAAGTGATATATTTTAAATTTCTTCTGTTTCATTGAAGTGAACACAAATGTTTTTTACATAAGAAAAAAATTGGCCGAAAAAAGAAAAGATTTTGAGTCAGAGCAGCTCCCTAATCGATTAGCCAACGTTGCTAATCGATTATGACTTAACTTTTTTAGGAAAGAAAATGTCAGGTTTGGAGCCTAATAATTTAAGAGGCTTTCAAATCGATTATAGGGCTAATTCGCTCCATAATTGATTTCAAAGTAAAAGAAGTTTTAGAACAATATTTAAGTGTGTGTGTGAATTTTTGAGAGCTACTCATACTTATGAAAAATTAATTATCTTAAATAGCGAGCATTCATAGACTTGCTTCTTTTTTTTTTATGATGGTCTTTACATTTGATTTTCTGTGTCAAACACCAAAACCTTTTTACTTGGCTTTATTATTTACTTCAATCTAAATTATGTTTATGACAATTTCACTTTATTCTATTTGTCCGTTAAAACCACAATTACCTGCACATCATATAGAAACACAACAAATAGAACCAGTACTTTATTCTCTCTGATATTTTTAAAAATATTTTCTCATTGATTTGTGTCTATGTTGATTTATCACTATCGGAATCTGATTTAGTTCATGAGCATAAACATCTTGGCAAACTCACGCCATGGACAATGAAACATGTTTTTACTATATATTCTCCAACTCACAGAGAGCATAAGTGTTTTGAACCAAAATCAAAGAGTTTGTTAACCATAGATGTTACTTTTTGTTTAACACCAACCTTTTTTATGACATTCATCACTACAAAAGCGAACATGTTCTTAGTCTCGATAGTAATGACGAGCAACGTGAAATACCGCTACAAAATGGTTCAGTTAAAAAGACATAAAGAACATATCCAAATTACACCCAAGGTAAACATGCAAGACAAACTTTCTAACCATACAATTATAGATGATATATATTATAGTTTATCCAAGAACACATTAATAACAACAACAGAGTTGCACAAATATTAGATGGGATAAAAAAACAAAACAATATATACCTGCTCCTATAATTGTTTCTCACACACACTCTTAATAAAAAACAAAACAAAAAATCAAAAGGAAACCAACATATATATAAGTATTCAAATACAGGTATTAATCTGTCTCATTTTTCTTTGGATAAGGACAATATATACCCATGGCTCTCTCTAGATAAATACATATATAAATATATAATAAAATCTCATCTTTTTCTTAAGTTAATAAGTGATCAGTCCTCTATTTAGGAATATGGTTAAACTGATCACACCTGCTCCTCACTTCACCTTTCTTACCAATCTTCACTCCATGCACAGAAAGTTTCTCCATTGCCTTGGAAAAATCTTGAAAGAAAGCTTGTTCATCTTTTGCATACAGTTCTACAAGTGGCCTTGTTCTTGGATCAACACCCAAAATATAATCAGATGTCAATAATCCCAAACCCTTCAACACATTTTGAAAAAAAGCATTATCGAATTTCCCTGGTGACCTCACATCATTGAAAGCAGCCATGGAAGAGTCCTTGGTGTAATTTTGACACACTTTTCTCAAACCTGCAGCAAGTTTAGGATGAAGAGTTGGATCGATCTCAGAAGTTTTGCTGTAGTTGAAGATTCTGTTGCTGAATTCTTTGCAGTGAGTGAAACCTATTGTGTGTGCACCAGTTAAAGCAACCATGTCCTTGATAGTGAAATTCTTTGCGGTAAACTTCTTGATGATTTCATCCATTGTCATTGTTGCTGTTGGAAGACTTTCGTTCGTTCTTGCGGCATCTGATACGAGACTATCTTTTCTTCCTAACCTAACTCGATAAAACGGGCCACCAACCATCTTAACAAGGTCTCTTGTGGATTGTGCAACGATGTCTGAACACGAAACAATACCGGGACATGCTAGCTCCAATGCATTTTTTATTTTGACAATGATGTCGAATGCGTCTCCGGAGAGGGAAAGGTTGAGTTCAGCATCACGTTCGGCGTGAGGGTTGTAGGCGTTGGAAGAGATAAGGATGGAAGCGTCACAACCGTCGGTGATACAGTCGTGGAAAAACAGACGGAGGATGCCGGGTGCTGTTGCTGGGCTAGAGCTTTGTTTGGTGTAAATGTGTTCTCTGACGATTTTTTCGAAGTCGGGACATGTTTTTTTGTAGTAGTTAACGTCGAGTTTGGCTGAGGAAAATGGAAGGCAAATGAAGAGAAGGAAAAAGATAGGGAAAGCCATGGGTAAATGATGATTATGCATGAGATGAGATGTTTTTTTAATGTTTTTTCCAAGAGAAGTTTTGAAGAGCTAAGAGACTCCTTTTTTCCTCTCTTGGGTTTGTAAATGATAATTGGGAGTTTGTAAATGATAATTGGGAGTCCCTTTTTGGGAAGGAAGGGGAGGAATTGGGTGAGAGAAAGAGAATGCATATGTGCCAAGTTTGGGAACAATGAGAGGTGGGAGAAAAGGGAATACAAGGTGTGGAAGAGAGGGGTTTAAGGGAATTTTTGTTATCTTTTTGTGATTTTCAATTAAATGGTTTGTTTTTAGAATTTTCTATTTTTGCATGCTATTTTTGTTTGCTTTTATAGACTATTTTAAGAATTACACTAGAGAAACCTTTATATCAATGTTCCTTTGGTTCAACCATAATTAAATAGATACAACAAATTCACCATAAATCTTGAAAGTTAAACATATAAACACTTATATAATATGATAATAACATGTAGTTTTTTGAAAAAGTGAGGTGATGTGATAAAATAATATATTTTTTATTGTATGTCGGTATATTATGAGTATTTCGTATTAGAGTAGAGAATATACGAGATGCAGAAGATAACCAGCGTAAAAAAGGTCTTTGGTATAATGGTTGAGGCCTTTAGTAATTAGAGAGGAAGATATATGCAAGGTTAACACTCCAACACCTAATTCAGTGTTTGAGAGAGGTGAAATTATGCAAACGTGAAAGCGAGAATACATAAGCATGACTCAAAATCATAGCTATATATGAGAGATGATAACAATCCTTCTCTGGTGATCCATTATAGGATGCATGGGATCGTTGGATGTACATCGACAGTTGAGATGGTCACAGGAGGCGTGCTCATATGTGATATTGTGGAGCAGGTGTCCACGTGTACGTCAGTTACTAAAGAGCTTTAGCTAGATAAGGTCGGTCTTGTTAGACCTTTTGCCAACCTAAAACAATTTCCCATAAGTCCTTGCTATCCCTAATAAAGTGTAGAATGTTTAAGCAGGAGTTTTATGATCAGTCCAAACACATGTTCCATTGAGGGAGTAGGTGAGTTGCGAAAATTTTATCGGGAAGAGAACGAGTTTCATTTTGGAATTGAGTGGGAGTAAGTGGCATTAGAATCACGCCCATTTAATGTCATCGTGTAACTGAATTATTTCCTCCAAGAAGATCTCCATGTACTTGTTCAGACACAGTTTTTGTGCGAACAACCTCTGACCTCCTAACGCGGGTTTACTTGCGAGACCGGTCAAACGAGTCCCACAACACTTGATTTGGGGTGTATGGGAAGAATGATGGTCTGGAGTCTATTTGAATCTATTTGCGATAGACAGGGAATTTGTTGTAAGTGAGACTGAAACTTAGAAAAAGTATGCAAAGGAATGGGAAATAACTTATGTAAAAAGATTGAAAATAAAACAACAAGGCAAAGACACATTTGGAATTAATAACATAAACTGCTTATAAAAAGGGAAAAGGTGACGCTATCGTACATCTTGTAGGAATGAAAAACTCTTTTCTCGATACGCTTTGGTACTAAGAGTGTTTTCCTTACAATCTCACAAAAAAGCGCCCCTTGTTACCAAAACACACATTGCATTAAATAGAGAAAATAAATAACTGTCACGTTGAATCTGATGATGCCACGTGTTCGCCCACTACTTCTATAACATCCTATGTCTTTGGATTTCAAATCCTTTTCCCACTCAAACATACATCTTTTTGCATGGCCTTTGGTTGTCTCGTTCGACTGACGCCACCAAGGGTCAACCTCACCATCTTCTTCCTGTCGATGTCGACCTTCTTCCTCAATGAGTTATTGAGTCTGTCGACCAACTGCTGCGTTGCCACTTCTCTGGTCGAAACTTTCGGTCAACAAGATGCCCCCTCAAAACCCAATTTCGATGGGATACTCTGTCGACCAAGAAACTAAGTGTTTTGACTCCTATAGAATTTCGACCGTGTTTGGGTGTGATGCAATAGAATCATCATTGCTTTCTGTCAATTTTACCACGCGTCGTTTCTAGTCTGAAATAATGATGGCGCCTTTCTGCGCCACATTTCTCGAGACACGGCTAATCATGGTGGTCACATCCCAACGTCATGGGTCTTTGAACCACCCCCACTAACTTTCAGAATTACAACCGCTTGTCTCTTCACTTGCATGCAGCGTTGCCTATAAGTACTGCACTCTCTTCACTTTGTTTCTCTTTCTCCACTATAATCCCACTTCTATTTTCTAAAAGAAAGTCCCTCATCTTCACCCTTCTAAAGTTCTCTCTGCTTCAATGACTTCTTCTAACGTTTCCAAAACCCATACTACTGGAAATAACCCCATAGCTTTTGTCCTTTCTAAGGATGATTCCCTCAAACCTCTCCCTAATCCTACGTTGGTTACTGAAAGGTGGTGGCAATATGGAGGCGTCAGATGGTCGTCCCCTTCGACGTCGCCGGAAAACTACACGCCTTCCATGGGCCATATCCTGCCAGTAAACCTAGCCACGAGGAGTTACAAGCATTTTTTCCTTGTTTTCTGCCTACCATTCCCCCAGCCTTTCAGAAAGGAGGAATCTTCGATTTGAAGTTCATGGCCCCAAAAGCTTGTGTCTTTCGGTCGATGCCCACCCCAGGTAATAAGGATTACCTTTCATGGCTGAACAAAGTCCAAAACAAACGTCAAGAACAGTGGAAGAAAGCTGCCATCTTCGACGCCACCCAGTTGTCTCGAAATTCCCACAGGGTCAACCCATGTCTCCTGCTAGCTGCAACATTTTTCTAGAAAGGTTCGACTAATACCTTCCAATTTCCTTGTGGCATGCTGTTGCACCCCAAAAATTTGACCAACATTTATTTACCTATCAAGAGTTGTATGAGGCTATGAAGCTAGCCAAGAAAGTTGTTCAAGTGATCAAAGGTTGATACCTTTGTCAGAGAACTCAAGAGATCCTCAGAGAGATTGGTTGAAACCAAGGTTGTGTGCCTCATAACTTGAGGGTTGTGGGAGCTCCTCAGATGATTCTGAGACTGTGAGGATGGACTTGAAGCTTTAAGGAAGCTTATGAGATGTCTTGAAAGCCATCATGAAGCCTAGAGATGTCATTGTACAAGAATTCAGAAGATTCAACCATGAGTGGTGGAATTAGGGTTTGACTGGGTCAACCCTAGGTCAACTGATGATTTGGAGAGGGTTGAGACCCAATCCAAGAGCCATGTGATCATGTAATGATGCATTGAGATGCTATAAGGATGATTCCTAGACCAACTCATCATGATTAAGGAGTTTGAGAAGTTTTAAGCTAGGGTTTCTAAGGATTGACAGTGTAAAATCCCCTAGTTTGATCCCTATCTTCAAGGCAGTTTAGCTCAAGATGTGATTGTCATCTCATCTTCCCCAAAACATGAATGTTGTAGAGCTTGTTCTTAGCTTTAATTTTAGTACTAGAAGTCCTTGATAGGATTTGTAGAGCTCAAGTTATGACTTTGACAAATTATAGGTCATCTGAGGTATGTGAATCTGGGTCCTTGAAAGTCACCCAACTTGCATCCAACTTTTGCCCTAATAGGATGATTCCTATGGATTCTTGGTCAACATGAATGTTGTATAAAATCTCCTTAGCTTTCTAGAGAGTACTAGAAGTCCTTGATAGGATTTGTAGAACTCAACTTATGGCTTTGACAAGTCAAGGGCATTTTGGTCATTTGGAGGTTATAGGTCATTTCAAGCATAAGGCCATATCTCCTAGTTCCAAGCTTCAAATGGAAAAATCTTCAACATCAAACTTTCTTAGAATGATGTTTTAAGGCTAGTAGGGAGGTCATGAGATGTTGAAAAGGCTCATATCAAAAAGTGATAAAAATGGCCTAAAATGGAGGCATAAATTAAATAAAGTGAGATTGAAAATTGGAAATCACAAGCTATAAATCCAAACCATGTCATATAATAGGTCATTTTGACTCCAAATGACATTCTAAGAACAATGGTTCAGCCACAATTTTGATTTGAGGCTTGGATCATAGGGCTGCTTTGGAATTGGCTTACTTGCATATTAAGGTACCAAGGCAAAACTCAAAAGAACTCAATGTACAAGTTGGTTAAGCATTGTAACTCATCTTAAATCTCATGTGGGGATAAATTCAAGTCAGAATTGGTTATCACAAGGAGCTTGGCATGAGATAGCATGTAAGGAGAATTGGATTCAAAATGTCATGACATGAAAAGTTCAATTTCTCATTGGATGATCCTAGATGGTTCTAGATGATTCTAAACCACTCTATAAGATGATTGTAACTTGCTCAGATGCAAGGTTGGTGAGAATTGGTGCATAGAAGAGAGAGTGAAATCAAGAATCTTCCATTGCAAGTCAAGTGCAATTTCTTCATTCTTCTTCATTCCCATCCTTTTCTTCTTCACAAACACTTTCCATATATCCCTCTGAGTGTGTGCATACTGAATTGAAGTTCCATTGATGGAGGATTGAAGGTGTTCCAATTGGATTTGCAAGAAGCCATTCATCATCGAATCTTGAAGTGTCAGCATTCTCCCTCCAATTTTTTGCAAACAGAAGAAGTATCTTCATCCAAGGATCATTCCTGAAGAGTTTCAAGTGGTGAAGTGAAGGATTTCATCATCTGCCATACCAAGAAACCAGGTTTGCAAAATCTCTATCACATCATTATTTAGGCATGTTTAGGTTGAATTATTAGTGTAGAATGGCTAGAGACCAATAGGTGATCAATTCTAGAGACTTAGAGAGTAATTGGTGAAGGTTGAATGTGTGACACCATTACTTTGATGAGCAAGAACTCGTGGCATGGTGAGAAAGAATGAGTGTTTGATAGCTTGTTTTAATCAGTGGAGTGAGGTGAACATTTTGATGCAAGAAAATCTAAGTTTGGTTGAAGTCGAGGATTGATCATATGTTGAGGTGCACCATCGGGTTCTATGGTAGAGACCATTTCAATGCATTTCAAGGTTAGGATCGTGATCAGGGAGAAAAACTGA